CGGGCTGGATTCAAACCCGCTGGCCTTGGTGTAGGTGGCTGGCACCAAGACCACTGTCCTACAGGTGCTGAGCCTTTTACAGCCTTCTTAAATTTTTCTTTTTGGATCTGAGATCTGATCAAAGATCGTATGTTGTGTTTGGTCATTATGTCGCTTTGATTGCCAATTTTTGTTTTTATCACGATGTTGACTTTTTTGAAGAGTCCTTTAAATCTTCTTATAAAGACGGCTGAGTCTTATGGGTTTGCCAGCTCTGTGTTACTAACAGCTAAATATAGGCCGTCATTGTAGTAAAGCGACGTCTCCTTCTTCTCCCTTGGAACTGAGATGCTGTTATACTATTTGGCTTCCAAAGTTAGCACACTAAGATGTGGGGTTTGCTTAAAATTGTAAATGTGGAAAAAATCTCAGTGTGGAGAGCAAGGCAGATGAGAATTATACAGGGTGCATTTTGTGTGATTAAAGGCACAGTCCCTGTCCCTTGCTCTGGTGGCTGCCCTTGTCAGCTCTTGGCTGGGCAGCTCTTCCTCCTGGCTTTTCTCCTGCCTGGGGCCTGGCTCCCCTCCAGCATCATTAGGTTGCAGCAAGGAGTTAGAAACAGCCCTGCAGTTATTTAAATCTCCCAGTCCGAATCATTTGGGCTAGGGAGCATCACACAGCCTTTGTGTGTGCAGGCTGAGTGCTGGACACAACATGGTGTGCAAGGTGGGTGTGTATGCAGGAAGAGCACCTTCTTGAGAATCTGGGGGGCCACAGTCATGCATCTCTTATGAGACTGCAAGCTGGTCACAGGTATTGTGGTCTCACGTGATTTCTAGAGAGAACAACACCCATCCTTTGCTTTCCTCTGGGCAAGAAGCACTCAGGGCTGAGAGGCCAATCAAAGAGATACCTGCAAAGCCCAGTGAAGAGAGGACGTGTATGTGGGTGTGCACGCTGGTGGGAGACAGGAAGGAAGGAGAAAGAGAAAAGACGGGATAAATGAAAGAATTAAAACTGAAGTTTCGAAGGCTGGGAGGCAGAGTGCCTCTCATCTGTATTCCTAGCACTCTAGGAGGCCACAACAGGTGGATTGCCTGAGCTCAGGAGTTCTAGATCAGTCTGAGCAAGAACGAGACCCCCGTCTCTACTAAAAATAGAAAAATTAGCCAGGCATTGTGGCAGGTGCCTGTAGTCCCAGCTACTGAGGCAGGGGGATCGTTTGAACTCAGGAGTTTGGGGTTGCTTTGAGCTGTGATGACGCCATGACACTCTATCCAGGATGACAAAGTAACACTGTCTCCAAAAAAAAAAAAAAAATTGAAATTTCAAAAATGCAGCAATAAAAGCAGCAATCACTTGTTGGGAAAAATATTACCATTTTTTAGACTTCAATTTTTCTTTTTTAGGGGGTGGGGTGGGGCTGGGTTTGAACCTGCCTCCTCTGGCATATGGGTCCAGTGCCCTATCCTTTTGAGCCACAGGCGCCACCCTAGACTTTGATTTTTCACATCTGGAGAAACTTCATTTCCTTCTTCCATGTGGACTTAATTGGGAGGCACTCTTAGCAGCTAGGTGACTGGGTTTGTACATAACCTCCCTGTGCCGCAGTTTCTCATCTGTGAAAAGGAGAACGCCTATTGCTTGTGGCTATTTTGAGAATAAAGAGAGATAATCTATGTATGTGCCTAGCACAGACCAGGCACGTGGTATAAACGCTCAATGTAGGTAAGCTACAAATGTTTAGTTTATATCACAAGATTAAGTCGTCCTGATGGTCTTCTTATATCTAATGCCTACCTTCATCTTTAACCTACTCTCTTAAGAATAGTAGTTTGTTTGTTTTTTTTAAAGGCCTTTTTAGAGACAGAGGTGGGTGGATTGTTTGAGCTCAGGAATTCAAGACCAGCCTGAGCAAGATGGAGACCCAGTCTCTACTAAAAATAGAAAAACTGAGGCAAGACGATTGCTTGAGCCCAAGAGCTTGAGATTGCTGTGAGCTATGACGCCATAGCACTCTACCCAGGGCAACAGCTTGAGACTCTGTCTCAAAAAAAAAAAAAAAAAGTTAAAAAAATTCAATTAAATCTGAGCAAGAGCAAGATCCCATTTCTACTAAAAATAGAAAAAACTAGCTGGGTGTTGTGGAAGACACCTGTAGTCTCAGCTCCCCTTTTGGGCTGAGGCAAGAGGATCACTTCAGCCAAAAAGTTTGAGGTTGCTGTGAGCTGTGATGCCATTGCACTCTATATATGGCGAAAGTCCAACTGTCTCAAAAAAATAAAATAAAAATAATTTTTTAGGATGGCACCCATAGCTCAATGGGTAGGGTGCCAGCAACATACACCAAGGCTGGCGGGTTCAAATCCTGCCCAAGCCAGCTAAAAACAACAATGTCAATTGCAACAACAAAAATAGCCAGGCATTGTAGTGGACGCCTGTAGTCCCAGCTGCCTGGGAGGCTAAGGTAAGAGAGTTGCTTAAGACCAAGAGTTTGAGGTTGCTGTGAGCTGTAACACCACAGTACTCTACCCAGGGTGACAGCTTGAGACTCTGTCTCAAAAATAAATAAATAAATAATAACTTTTTAAAAGACTAGTCTATGGCTTCTTTTAGGGGATAATTAAAATGTTCTAAAATTAAGTAATGGTGATGGTTGCCCAACTATGTGAAAAAAAAATTTTTTTTTGAGACCAAGCCTCAAGCTGTTGCCCTGATTAGAGTGCATGGCATCACAGCTCACAGCAACCTCCAACTCCTGGGCTCAAGCGATTCTCCTGCCTCCGCCTCCCAAGTAGC